CATTTAGATTTTGGTGACAACTGAATCCTAATAATTTGTATATAATATTGCTTTTAATACTATTATACTTATTACTAGACATGTGCGATTCGTTTAGTTCCGAATCAAAATTGGGACGAAATTTCGGAAGTTCGGAGATTCGGATGTGTCCGAATTCCGAATTACAGCTAAAACTAATGCAACCGAATCCGAATTTACGATTTCCCAAAATTCGTTAGCGGTAGTCTGGATGAAATTTCGTTTATTGGATGAAATTTCGTTTATTGGACGAAATTTCGTTGCAGCAAAATGACAGACATTTTTTTTTTTTTTACAGTCATAATGCTTTTTATATGACACCTCGGATCACAGACCCGAATGGCATTCAGAAACTCACGAATAGCATTCGTAATAGTCAAAAATTGACTCTTTGGTTTTTTTTTCAATTAAAGGATCAAAAGTCTGAACTTTTTACTAACTATTTAATTTAACCCTTTAGTGAATGGGTAGGGGTACAAGTACCCATTACTCATTCACAAGGGGGGGCGGCATCTGGGTGCCCCCTTAATTAAAGGGGTACCCCGATGCAAATAAGCCCCCTTGCCCGCAGACCCCCACAACCACCGGGTCAGGGTTGTGGGGAAGAGGCCCTTGTCCCCATCGGCATGGGGACACCCTCCCAATGTCGAGGGCACGTGGCCTGGTAAGGTGCAGGGAGGGGGGCACTCGATGGCCCCCCCTTTCCTGCCCTGCCGGGCCACTGCTCGGATAAAGGGTCTGGTAGGACTGTTAGGGGGACCCCACATTTTTTCCCCATTTCTTGGGGCTGGGGTTCTCCCTTAAAATGTCTACCAGGCCTAAAGGGCCTGGTAGGATTTTAGGGGGAACCTCACACACTTTTTTTTTGTTTTAACTTGGGGGGTCCCTCCTAACATTCCTACCAGACCTATGGTATGAATTGGGGTGGAACCTCATGCGTTGTTTTTTTCGTCTGCAGACTAAAAATATATTTTTTTAAAATTCCCCTCAAATGTCACTTTGCTGCCACGAATGAACGAAATGAAAACGAAATTAAATTTGACCGGGCTACCGCTAACAAATTTCGTCCGAATCCCACAACGAATTCCATTTCGGACCCGAATCCGAAAAACGAAATAATGGAAAATCCGAATCAAAACGAAACTAAACACATTTTTTGCTGGTGCACATGTCTACTTACTACATAGATACAAAACATATTCCATGCACTATCATTACACATTAATAGGGTTTATAACTATAGATATAAAACAGTCTGTGTTATACTGGGTGGTGATTCAATATAGCAATAGCGACACTTTTCTGGTGGTATGGTCCCTTTAAAAACTAATGTGTACTGACTAAAATATAGAAACTTTAATTAGCTCACAAGCAATTACATTCCAAATTGGTAGCTCAGGAGCTACCAGCGCTGTGGGAACCACTTCAGGCTCACTCCCTTCATCAGGTCAAACATGTCAAAATGAGATGTAGACGTAGCTTTTACGAATACGGAAACAAATGCAGGCGGTCTCTGGCCAAAGTCAGGACTCAAAAACCCAAGACATGATGCTCCGTCAACAGATGCTGAAATTGTGTTTGACGGGGTAGCATGGGATTTCCTGGACAAGATCTTGTCACAAATTAAAATGCCCAAGCAGTTTCACAGCTTGATAAGAGCCCTTTATTCCACACCTTCAGCAACTGTTTGGGTTAATGTTCACAACTCTTTTCCCATCACCAATGGAATAAGCCAAGGGTGCCCACTTTCCCCTCTGATCTTTGTTCTTACGCTCAAACCATTTCTCCAACATGTTAGGAACAATCCAGGTATATCTGGGCTGTTAGTGGTTGATCATTGGCACAACATTTCTGCTTACGCTGATGACCTTCTATTTTACATTACCAATCCTCAAATGTATCTACCAGTCCTGATGAGGTGTAGGGCTTCCCAATGCGGCCTTCTATTACTTGGCGGCTCACATGGCCAAAGTAGTAGACTAGGGTAGACACGGGCAAAACTAGATTTGGCTTGGCTGATGGCCCTGCAGCTGCCCTACTGAATCTAACTTTGCTGTCCAGAAAGAGGTATAATAAATAATTGTTGAGACAATTATTAAACACTGCCCAGGCCTGTGTCCCAAGTGCACAGAAACCTAATCCTCCAACAGTTGTACAATGATGTTCCAGAGTGAATGAAATCAGAGACATGAAAAACCTCACGGCGGCTCTATATGATAGATCTGAAACCTTTTCTCTGATCTGGTTTTACTGGGAACAATTTGTCCTCTCTGCTAAATATACTGCCCGTCTTCAATGTGCCATTACTATCTCTTCTAGTCATCACCGGCTCTTGCAAGGATGTCTTCCTTTCTCTTTTCCTCCTCTTGTTCTTCACTTTGGTTCTATTTTCTTTCTTCATCTTTCACTCTGTAATCATTTGTTTCTTCTCTCTTCACAGTGTGTGTTCTCCCTCCCCCATGTTTTTTGCATGTGTTCCCCTTTTCTGTCCTTCCCTCTGTGTCCCCGCCTTTTTTTCTTTCTTATGCATTACACCCGGTTAAACCCACATTTCCACTGGTTCCCTGATTAAAAAATTTATTATAAAATTACCGTATTCCACCAATGGTTGGCCTGCCTTGGTTATACATTACATTGTTGGTATGAGATGAAGATCTCCTAAACCTCAGTCTTTACACTTGATACAATTTCCTACTAACCTTTTTGGCTTATTTCAATGGACCTTTTTGTATTGTTCCTTGTTGATAACTTTTTATTGTGATCTACACTTTTCTGCTGTGCAGCCGACTGCATCCTAGCAACCAACGATGCTATGCAACCGACAGTATACACCGACATTATAAATTATGAGCATCAGAATAAAAACCATATCTCTTGCATATGGTTGGATGCTTGAACTAAATGCAGTTTTAATTAATGTGTACCTTGCAAGATAAAGCAAGGACCATGCATTACCTTAGAACCCCCTTCATAAATTTACCAACAAAACCTAAACCCCAGTGCTTGTCTGACTACCATAGATTATAGGAATAGGCTTTGATTTAAAGATGACTGATGGAGGCTGCTGTCCAACAGCAGATAGGTAGCTTCCTCAATAGTACATGTAAAATAGCACAAAGAGAGCAACTGCACCTAGAGTGATAATGTTTATTAAAGAAATAAAAACGAAAACACATCCATCTGCTCACATGTTCAATACAGGTAGTTAGCATTACATTCACCAATGTAGCTCTCAGATTTCAAAGGATCAATAAACAAATTAAATGTGGCAACAACCAAACACATTTTGGAGGTAATACCCCCTTCTTCATAGCTATCTGTATGTATTATACACTAATACATACCACAGAACATGAGGACTAGAAAAACTATTCCAAAAGAAAGAACCAACACTCCCCCAGGCCACCCACACATCTTGACAGCCCAATTAGGATGGCCAGGCATGTCAGCCAAAGGGAGCTGGAGGAGAGGAGACATAGTGCATAGTGGATTATCAATCAATATAAAGGTGCTCCATTAATAAATGTGTGTGTGTGTATATATATACATATAT